TACCAGTATGTGTGTTCCCTGGGATTTGAACCCACTACCTTTTGCGCTGCTGATGCAATACTCTACCACTGAGCCACAGGAACACACTTGACTGGTGATTTTTATGAAAAGTAATTATCAAAGTTTGATCAAATGTTGTTTAAAGGTTTTTACATGATTTGTTACATTTAGTTACCCTTTTGCAGATTTGGAGACTTTGTAAAATTGATTATTAATCATGCTAACACATTGATTTCCTCCGATCACAGTGAACCAGCTGACAGATGGGAGCTCTTGGAAGACTCTGGCAACTACAGTATGTGTTTACGGACTCCTGAAGTTCCTGCAGGGAGGTGGAGCTGGTGAGGGAACATCTCCTCATTTAAGGATATCTTTGAATATTCTTTAGAATCTGACCACAATCTGATCTTCATTTGTTTCCGTCTGCAGGTGCGTCTGGGTTTGTGAGTAACATGCGTTCGTTCTTGTGGATTCGAGTGCAGCAGTACACTAACCGCATGGTCCAGGTGCGTCTCTTTGCTCATCTGCACTCTCTGTCTCTGCGCTGGCACCTGGGTCGCCGCACAGGGGACGTCCTGAGAAGCATCGACAGAGGAACCTCATCTATCAACAACCTGCTGAGGTGAGAGCTAAAAAAAATGTTTTAAAATTAACATTAGCTTTTATATTATACTGCATCTTGATACCAGAGACCTTCTTACCTCAAGCGGTTTGCATTTAAATGCAAGTATAAACAAGGTCAACTAGGTCTGTGTGCAATGTTAATCTTGGATGCATTAGCATGCATGCATATAAAACTTAAGAGCCGATAGTATGCTTTCGCGGTAAAAGTGATCTCAGTTTGTATGATCTTTAAATATATATTTTTTTTGTTTTTTTTCCAACAGCTACATCGTGTTCAGCATCTTCCCCACTATTGCTGACATTGTCATCGCCATTGTATATTTCATATCCAATTTTAATGCCTGGTTTGGCCTCATAGTCTTCGTTTGCATGACCCTCTACCTCAGTAAGTATTTAACAATGGTCATTTCTAAATGTGAATACATGAACACACGCATTGCTGAAGATGCTGTAGTTGCTTCTTTTCTGGTTTCTTTTCATGTGGGATTGGTTTTAGTATAACTCCATTACTTAAAGTAATTATTTATTTATTAATATAACCAAAGGTCTTGTATGTTGAGTTTTGTTCAAAACATTTAACACTTAAATTTTAAGTTAAACTTGAATACCTTGTCTAACTGGTTCAGGTGTGTAACTGGAGGTTAGGATAATGTCTAAATTGAATACTGCTTGAATGCTACTGTGCAGAATAAAGCAATAAGCCCCAAGAAGTCGTGGTTTACAGTGAATTTATAACAGCTAAGGGGCATTGTTATAAATTCACTGTAAACCACGGCTTCATGGGGCTTATTGCTTTTATAAAACGGTTATTCCATGTACATAGTAAGGATTCACAAAATAAAACAGAGCAAATAAAGTGTAATGATATTAACAAAAACATTCAATCCACCGATCAATGTAGTTCCTCAGAATCAGTTGTGGTTGCAACAAAGTGGTTATCGAGCAACACACAAACGTAAACAAAGGTGTATGTTTGTAGAGTAATTTACAACAGCTTCAAACGGGGCTCAGCCAATCAGAATCAAGGACCGGAACGATCCGTTTTATAACATGATGCAATATACTGCCTTCTGTAAGTGTAGTATATGAACCAGAATGCAGCATGCAAACATTTATGCTATATTTATGTCACGCCAGTGTTGTTATTGTTAACTAAAATTAAAAGTATTAAAAATAATGTTCAGGTAATTGAAATAAACCAAAATAATAATGATAAAATATGAATATTTTATTCAAAACTGAAAAAACGTAATTAAAAAATTTGAAATGTTGCCTTCACAACTAAAGGACTAAAATAAAAAAATAAAAATAAAGCTAAATAGATGTCAAAAAAGGATATGAAAAATATTCAAATGACATAAGCACATAACAAATTACTAAAAAAATGAACAAAATTACAGTGAAAACTTAAAATATAATATAAAAGCTAATATTAAAACAAAAATATTAAATAATGCTAAAATATCAGTCAATGTACCTCATTATGCCGCTTCTTTAATTCTGCAATTGGTCTCTCTTTTGATTTTGTTAATAAAAATTGTTATTTTGAAACTGCAGTTGATATTACTTCACAATTAACTCACAAAATGTGAAAGTTATACTGCATACTGCACAAATAGTGTGTACGGTAGTTCTGACCATACCTAGACTCTGCAGGATTGTTTTTGATTCTTTCGTCTCAGGAGTCACTAATGAAAGAAGAATGGAAATACATAGATTATAGCATTTGATTTATTGATTAATTGTTGTTATCTGTGTCTCTGTCAGCTCTCACTATTGTAATCACTGAATGGAGAACGAAATACAGACGTGATATGAACACACAAGATAACAATGCCAAATCAAAAGCTGTGGACTCTTTATTGAACTTTGAGACGGTATGGCTTTGCTTTGTTTAACTAAGGCATCAGAATGCGTGTTATAAAAAAATATGCAATATGTAGTATTGTGAAATGCAATATAATGCACATAATAAAGCATTGCATATGCTGTGATTGAATTATGATATTGTCAACAGGTGAAATATTACAATGCAGAGGTTTATGAAGTAAGACGCTTTGAGGATGCTATCATGAAATATCAGGTAAAACATTTTTTAAAAGTTTTTAGTCTGCGATCCATACAGCATTTGTTATATTTCATCTGTATTTGATTTGAAATGAATTTAATGTTGAAGAGCTCACTGTAATATATATAATAATAAATGCCACTTTTTCTTTTGCTTAGGTATCGGAGTGGAAGACCAACGCCTCTCTGGCGTTCTTAAATCAAACGCAGAACCTCATCATCGGTTTGGGTCTTTTGACTGGATCTCTGCTTTGTGCGTACTTCGTGACAGAGGGAAAGTTTCAGGTATGAACAGTCAGGACACCTCAGATATCAGACCATTGGCTGTTAATTCTGAAGCCACCAAATAAGCTATGGTTTATAGCAGAAACATGTGAATGTTGCTTCATAAACAGTCTACAGCTTGGCTAATCTAATACATAACTTCATTTCAGAGGTTCTCAACCAGGGATTTATGAGATTGTGATTGTCATATTTCCACTCCAGACTGAGGTTTTAATATTGTTTATATGCCAGAGTTCACTGTCAGAGTTTACTTTATCTAAAGCATATTTTATTTGATTGTGGTGGTTTTAATGGCTTGAGAACATTTTTATTCTGGTAGTGAGATCAAATGTGTAACAAACAAGCCAATACAGAATTTAATTATATATATATATATTTATTTTATTATTATTAGAAAATTCGGGGAAATAAGCAAATAAGCACAAATAAGCAATATTCATTCAGCTTTTATTTCATATGATGTGGATATTTTTGCAGCAAGGAGATTCTAAAAGATGTCTCTTTTACCGTACTTCCCGGTCAAATAGTTGCACTTGTAAGTCTATTCTATTCTCCTTAATAAACATTTCTTATTATCAATGTTGAAAACAGTTGTGCTGCTTAATATTTTTGTGCAAACTATGATATACTACACTCTAAAAAATGCTGGGTCAAAACAACCCAATTGCTGGGTTTGCCCCTATTTTACCCAACACTGGGTTGTATTTAACCCAGCATTTTTAAGAGTGTACCATTTAAAAGTTTGGGTAAGTAAGATTTTTTTTAAATGCATAAAGATATTAATACTTTTATTTAGTAAAGATGGATTAAATTGATCAAAAGTGACAGTAAAGACATTTATAATGTTGCAAAATACTTTTTATTTAATGGGTGTTTTTTTATTTTATATTCATAAAATAATCCTGAGAAAATATTGCAATTTCCACAAAAATGTTAAGCAGCAAACACTGATAATAATAAGAACCATTATTAATAATTGAGCACCAAATCAGCATGATAGAATGAAGAAATCTGAATTATTCCAAACTTTTGTCCTCTAGTGTATGTGTAACCACTTTAGGATTGTTTTGGTTTATTTCAGGTTGGACAGTCTGGATCAGGAAAGAGCACCATCATTCGTCTGATTTTCCGTTTTTATGACGTTCAGGGAGGGTGTATAAAGATAGACGACCAAGACATCTCAAAGGTGAAGCTGTCGTTGATACAAACACAGAAGGGCACCCAATCATTCCCTTTAAAATCCTGTCTCAATGAATTGAATTCCTGTATTTTATGTTTCACATTTGTTTTGCACTAAATCTGGTAAGCTCTTAATTCATTCGTCTGGTTGTGTCTCAGGTGAAGCAGTCCTCTCTACGCGCTCATATTGGCGTCGTCCCTCAGGATACCGTCCTGTTTAATGACAACATTCGAGACAACATCCGCTATGGCCGAGTTACTGCTACTGACCAGGAGGTGGAGGAGGCTGCGACTGCCGCTGACATCCACGACAAAATCATAACCTTCCCGGATGGTGAGAACCATTTCATTGTACACAAAATTCCACAACTTTTCGGCATTGAAAGCATAATTAAACGGTAGAAAATTCATATAAAATGTGATAAGATTATTTTAGATCATCGCAATGGACAGAGCATTTCATTCAGTTTTTGTATGCCACAGAGTTCTTATACACTCTTAAAAATAAAGGTGCTTCAAAAGGTTCTTGAAGCGATGCCATAGAAGAACCATTTTTGGTTCCATGAAAAACCATTCAGTCAAAGTTTCTTTAAAGAACCGTCTCTTTCTTACCTTTTTATAATCTGAAGAACCTTCTTTCGCCACAAAGAACCTTTTGTGATACAGAACGGTTCTTTAGATGTTAAAGGTTCTTTATGGAACCATTTAGTCAAAAAGGTTCTTCTATGGCATCGTGAAGCACCTTTATTTTACAGTCTACAGTGAAACATCACAATGGACGATGACATCATGGTATACTCAACTGCAGAAGCACGGACGGACCATAGACTGTATAAAAACATGGACGTAGTGTCCGTGACGTCACCCGTAGGTTTCTGAAGAGCAGTTTTGAAGCTCAAAGTGGGCGGAGCCGGCCATCGCCAACTTGGCAGCGCATCACTCCCAAATAATCGAAAATGGGCCAAGAGGCAGGAGCTGGTTGCTGAAACCATGCCCACCTAGCTCGATGGCGGTGACAGCAGCGGCAATCCACCTGTCACTCAAGTGGCCACGTCCTTAATTATGCAGAACTTTAAGGCTTAAAATAATTAAACGGATGAGTTCTAAAAAAAAATCACCCCCCTCCCAGTTGTCATGAAGGGCAAAATTAGCTATATAGACCAAAACCACTTTTTGTACCAGGCTGTAAAAAAAAATTTTCAGCTGTAAAGTTGGGCATTTTAACATGGGGAGTCTATGGGACTGACTCCCTTTTGGAGCCAGCCTCTAGCAGCCAGTCGATGAATTGCAGTTTTAGTCACTTCCGTGTTGGTTTCACGAGAGAGACGGGAAGGTTGGGACGGATGAGCTCGACACATGTGCAGTGTCAACTACTTAACTCGCTCTGTCACAACATTCACCTCGCGCCTGCTCTCGTCCCGGCTCAACATCATGATGTCTGTTAGCCATCGGCGATGGGCGATGGCATTGTCTATTGGCCCAACCCTAATTATAAATAACTAAAACCATAAAAAAAACATTTGAAATAAAAAACATACTTCAAATAAAAGAAAAGTTTTTTTTCTCTTTGCTAAGGCAACATTTCTCATTTTAACTTAATGTACTAAAATAAGTAATAAAATAAAATGAATAAAAACTATTTACTGTAGACACATTTTAAAAAGACAAAAAGTAATGAAATGGCAAAAACATACAACTAAATTACTAAAACTTTAACTAAAATTCAAATGAATATTAATAAAAACTAAAAAAATTTTAGTTGTTAAAAAAGGTGCGCTCATTCAAAACGGTTGCATTCGATCCTTCTGGCTGTGCTGATTTAAATCTAGCGGTTCTGTCAGCAGAGTTTACACGTCACGTTTTGGTAACGGTACGGTTCACTTGGAACCTGAACCGAGGTGGTTCTAAAAAAAGTACCAGGTACTGTACCCAGTGGAAACCCCCCCAAAAGTGAACCATACCGAGCCATACCGTGCCGTACCATGCAGTGGAAAAGCGCCATTAGTGATACTAAAATAACACTAGTATGCCATCCATTTTGAGACTGTATAATATTTAGATTATAGCTGATATTCCTAATTGATATTTATTTGCAGGCTATGACACTCAGGTGGGTGAGAGGGGGCTAAAGTTGAGCGGAGGAGAGAAGCAGAGAGTCGCCATCGCTCGCACCATCCTCAAAGCGCCACAAATCATCCTCCTCGATGAGGTACAACATCACCAGTGCATTACGGGAGAATGCGTAGACAATGAGGGAATTATCCCAGTTTTGCCTGGTGTTTTTATAATTTCTTGTTGAAGTTGTTGAATTGCTTTAGCAAGTTTTGGTAATGCTGTGGAATTACACCACTGTTCATGAGTTGAAAGATTTTTAAGAAATTAACATTTTTATTGAGCAATGATGCATTAAATTGATCAAAAGTTACAGTGAATACATTCATAATGTTACAAAAGATAAATGCTGAAAAAAAAATGAATGCTGTTCTTTTGAACTTTGAAAAAATGTCAGTTTCCATAAAAATATAAGCCATCGCTCGCACCATCCTCAAAGCGCCACAAATCATCCTCCTCGATGAGGTACAACATCACCAGTGCATTACGGGAGAATGCGTAGACAATGAGGGAATTATCCCAGTTTTGCCTGGTGTTTTTATAATTTCTTGTTGAAGTTGTTGAATTGCTTTAGCAAGTTTTGGTAATGCTGTGGAATTACACCACTGTTCATGAGTTGAAAGATTTTTAAGAAATTAACATTTTTATTGAGCAATGATGCATTAAATTGATCAAAAGTTACAGTGAATACATTCATAATGTTACAAAAGATAAATGCTGAAAAAAAAATGAATGCTGTTCTTTTGAACTTTGAAAAAATGTCAGTTTCCATAAAGATATTAAGCAGCACAACTGTTTTATAAAAGTTATATTAAATTGTAATATTTCACAATATTACTGTTTTCACTTTATTTTTCTTCAATTAAAGGCAGATTTGATTAGCGAAATAGCAAAACTTCTTTCAAAAACATCAAAAAATCTTACTCCAAAATTTTGAACAGTAGTGCAATGCAGTAAAATCACAGTCTGTTAGAACATACTTGAAGTTTAATATGCAGTGAAGGATTTGGGGCTAATGAAATTTCAGTGAGCAGAGCTTCTCAGCTATACTGGACAGAAATAGAAAATAAGTAACCAATTGTCTTGTTGTGATTTCTGATTGACGAGATTTCAAAGTACTTCTTTCTTCATTGACTCATTTACTCATCCTCTATCCATAGGCCACATCTTCTCTAGACACACAGACTGAGCGAAATATTCAGGCCTCACTGGCTAAAGTCTGCACCAACAGAACCACCATTGTGGTGGCACACAGGTAAGCACACCATTAAATTAATTGAGAGATGTTTTCACTCAAATCATCTTCCATTGATTATTATAGTGATAAAACAAGTCATGAAACTAGAATACAGAATTTCTTATTGTATAACACCATCATTGACGTGCATATTATAGATTGTCGACTGTCATTGGAGCCGATGTGATTCTTGTACTTCGTGATGGACAGATTGTGGAGAGAGGAAGGTGAGTTTATTTACTGGTATACTGAACGCAAATTCATATGGGTTAATACATGAACTATGCTGTTTAAAGGGGTCATATGATGCTGCTAAAAAGAACATTATGTTGTGTATTTGGTGTAATGAAATTTGGTTTAAGGTTCAAAAAACACATTCTTTTCCACATACTGTACATTATTGTTTCTCCTCTATGCCCCGCCTTTCTGAAATGCGTCGATTTTTACAAAGCTCATCGGTCTGAAAAAGCGAGGTGTGCTCTGATTGGCCAGCTATCCAGTGCGTTGTGATTGGCCGAATTCCTCAAGCGTGTGATGGAAATGTTATGTCTCTTACCATATTGTGATGCCTGCGGCAACCACATGTGACGAACCCGGGCTGGACTCCGCTTCGTCCACGGTGAAAGCCGATCCGGCGATCGACAGCTGAAGTTGAAGTATTTCCTCAGCAACCAGCACAGATCAGCTCCAGGCATGAAGTTACGCCTTTCTTTGCGTGAACATTTGGGCGGCGTTATGCAAATCTTCCCAGTTAATGAGGTAGATATGTGGGGGCGTGTTAGAACGAGCCGTTTTAGGTAGGCGTGGCTGACTCTGAACTTTTATAAAGAATATTTCTTTGGATTTGAGACTTTAGGCTTTGCAACTTTACAGATCTTCTTTATGCACCAAGAGCTTGTAACACTCCAAAGAGAAAGGAAAAATTGAAATCGCATCATATGACCCCTTTAAAGTCCAGTATTATTGTTTGTGGTAGGCATGAAGAGCTGTTGGCGAAGGGAGGCCTGTACTCTGACATGTGGCTGAAACAGCAGCAGGCGCAGGATTCAGACTCGGCCTCTGACACGGAGACGAAAGACAGGAAATCTGAGAAACTACAGCCACAAACATCCACTGCAGGACACAAGGAACATTAGACACTTGGGACATGCAATCAGACCTGGTTTTGTGTGTATTTTAAGCTCGTCCAATGCAGTTTTGACATGTTAGATGATAATTATTCAATATCATATTATGTTTTTGCCAGTTCTTAAAAGTGGCCCATATTGCCTTAGGATTTATTTATTTATTTATTTATTTAAGTCTAATTTTATATTTCTTTGCAATTACTTCCCTCTCTTTTCCCTCAAAGTGCATTTATATCGCTAATTAATATGGCCATAAATGAGAGAGTAATAAGACTGACAGAGGTGTTACTGTGCATTATATGCTCTGACAATGATGGCTCCTTTCACTACTATAACTTCATTATGCTGAATGTACAATGGGTTTATTTTATTTAAGTCATTTAAGTGGATTTTCTCCGGTTGCATTGGTTCTCTGATGCTTCCGATTTGCTGTTGTTGGTAATCGAGAACATTTGAAAACTGCTTGTAGTTGTAAAAATGATCTACACCAGAACAAATTGTAATTGAATTTAGTTTGAAAGTAAATAATTATATTTCTGGTGCCATTGTGTAACAGTAAATACTGATATATGAATTTCTATAAAGACTAAGATTATGTTTAAATTTAGGATTAAGTTATAGGCAGAGGGGGAAAAAATATTTTTGTCAATTTTAATATTAATTTCTGACATATGTGCACATTTTTACTTTCTTTATGATCATGTGTGTGTTTTAAGATCATTTTCTTATGCTGTATATGTGGAGTGCTAGTTATTGCGTAGATGCAATAGATTTCTGTACTGTACAACTTCAGTTCAACTAAAGGGACACAGGGCTCATTTTATAGGACTGACACTAAACTCAGGGGACAAGGTTGAAATGAGCCATTGGGATGTGTAATTGTTCACTCATGTGTACATTTCTTGACAAATAAGCTTTTTAGTACATTTGTATTGACTATTTAAAGAACGGGTTGATTAGTAGGCCTAGTGACTGTCAGAATTTGCCTTGGATAAAATAACTCCGTGGTAAGATGGATAAAGTCAGATTTTTTGTATGTAATTTACTGTACAGTAAAGACAAGATGGGCATATGTTTATATTAATATGATCTGATCTTTCTGATTGTTGATCACATTGTTCTGTGCGTAAAATATTGTGTGTACATTAAAATACTATACATATTCCCTTTAGCTTACATTTTGTTTAGAAATAAAAATCTGTAAAATAATAATAACAATATTTTGTTTATTACTATTGTTATATTGCTATTATATTTTATTATGGATCATCAGTGCTGATCATATAGACTCATGTGCAGCATTTTGTGATTAGTCTGTACTTATATCTGTATCCTGTATAATGAATGACAATGTAAAGAATTGTGTAGTAAAACTATTATAATAATAAATAAAATATAACCATTATTGTATAATTGTGTGTGTGTGTATATATATATATACAGTATATATTATGGAACGATTTTCCGGACAATTTTCAAATAGAATAGCAATAATAAAACTATTATTTGGGTCATCATAAGTAATAAACAGAGGGCACCTACCAGTGTGTGCATTTTATAGAACATTTTAAACATTTATTCATAAATACAGAACCTTTAGGCAATTTTATTGGTAATTAATTAAGGGATAATCAATGGTTTGCCATGCATTAAAGGATTTTAAATGCACGACATGGAGGCCAAGATCCACCCGATGCGAAGGTAATGTTAATGTGTTTGTTCTTGGCAGAATAGATCTGCTACACTGCTGCTGCAGTAGAGCAAGTACAAGACGTGTTAGTTGTTACTGCCAATATGCTAGACATGCTGCTGTGAGTATGTAGGAAATACTGCTGCTGCACATATAATATGAAATAACCCCCATCATGTATAACATACATAAAATTACCTATAAAATAAATTAATTAGCATTATCCATGGTAGCAATTAACATTACATTCGCATCGGGCGGTTCTTGGCCTCCACGTCTTGCATTTAAAATCCTTTAATGCACGGCAAACCGTTGATTATCCCTTACATGTATACTGAGAGCTAAACTCTCCCAGAGTTGTCATGACAGAACTGTGTTAATTAATTCCCTTAAGTCAAATTGCAGTAACTTAATGTAAATTGTCTAATTAACTTTGGAATTTGGGCAGTTGGTGTTTAGTTCCCAGCCTGCTTTGCATAGGACTGGACAAGGAAAATAAATATTGAAAATAAGTTTTATTTTATGTTTTGTATTTTTAGTGAAGGGAAAGAAATTTCGTGTTTAATGCTGTTATGTTTGACATTTAAAAGAACTTCTGTTATGTTGAAGTTTGTGGTTATATCATTGTGCTGGTGGTTTGGTTGTTAGTGGCTACATTAGATAAATACTAATATTTTACATGTTTATTATGCCAAATAACTTATAGGCTAGAATGTGTTATGTAAGCTGGTGAATTTTTCTTGAAAAATATATATAGGCTATTAAAACAGTTTATTATTATAAATAATAATAATAATAAAATAATTGGATTAATTGGTTCAAGGGCCACAAATTCAGATAGTTGGAGCAATTTACTATTTTGGAATAATCAACTTTCAAAAATGTGTAACAATTTCATCATAAGTAGCCTAACTCAAAAAGATTGATGCAAAATCTTTTTTTTTTTTTTTTAGAGCCAACCCATTTTTTAGAGTGCATGCTGCTGGTATGTGTGCAGAGTAAAACTTAAAGTGCTTCTACTGACTAATGTTTGTTTACTGCTGTAAATTAAATCACTTGATGAATATTGAATAGGTTACGTGATTGGACTCAGATGAAGTCAAGTTCATGAAGATTTCGCCAGGTAAACTAGCACTGTCATACTGATTAAGATTCTAGATCAGTATGGCAGTGCCATTTACCTAGAGTCTAGAAAATAGCTTCCTCTAGGGGGCGCCTGACGGCCAAAAAGACAAATCCTCTCCTGAATCTCATTCAAATGTTTTTGTGTGTTATTTGGATATATTTACACACTAAACATATAATCGTTTAAATCTATAGTTTTTTTCTATTTATGGGACGTAATTGGCATATAAATAAAAAATCTGCTTGTGAAATTTCAAATAAAGCTATTTTAAAAACGCACTAGATTTATCATAAACTACTGCGATGGGTCAATACAAAACAGCGGTGAGAAAAGTAGCATATACCACATTGGAGTGGTGTTCCGTGATACTGGGGAATTGTAACAGCACTGAATAAAAATGCACGGGGGTTAGTTAAGATATAAAACTATGTATTTATTAAAAAAATAACACACATTTACAATAACCACATTTACGCTCTTAGTCTAAACTCTACGCAACTGAGCAGCAACTGAGCACACTGTCTTGCGTAACTGTGGTTCTGAATTCGTCGCAACGCAGCTTGCACGGCAGAGAGAGGACGCCTTCCTTCGGCCTTTCTGTGTTTTCAGTCCTTTTAAATTAATGCTGGAAGCCCAAAATGGATTTTGGGGATTTATTTGACGAGCGGACGTTCACCTTTTCTGACTTTCAGGAGTTTACGGTCAGTATCTGGGGTGTTTTTGTTCTAGGGGCGGGTTGTTTTGGCGGGTGACAGAAACTCACGGGAAACTGACTTGTGTAAAAACTTTAAATACGTTTCAACGTCTTCTTTCATATAAAGCCCAGAATGGTAGACTAGAAGAAAAGAACCATTCTTAAATACAGCAAATATCTGCTTTATTTCCATCTGTAAGACAGTAACTATTTGTTGTGAGTATCCGTTTAGTTCGAGGCTTCCTCAGAGGCCCAGTGTTTGGGTGTGATAGGAAAAGCACAGATGTTAAGTTTAGGCCTGTCGCGATAATCAATATATCGACTTATCGCGCAATATATGTGCATGACCTCAATAATTTTTGGTGAAGCAATATATCGCCCATTACATTTACTTAAAAATTAATGTTACTATGTTTTGTAACGTTACATTCCACTTGCGCCTGTGTCTTTTGCAGCTTCTCGTACATAACGCGATGTAGTCATGAGGTGCTAGTTCAAATTTAAAAAAATGCTTCTACAAAAAAAAGTTTCATCTGCAGATATGATCTTGTTTATGGATATGTGCCTTTGTTGCGTACGGACATCTGACTGCTAAGTAGTGATTGTGTTTTTCAGCAATAGTGTGCACCCTTAAAGGGGTCATATGATGCGATTTCAAGTTTTCCTTTCTCTTTGGAGTGTTACAAGCTGATTGTGCATAGATAAGATCCCTGAAGTTGCAAAGACTAAAGTCTCAAAACCAAAGAGATATTCTTTATCAATATTAAGACTCTGCCACGCCCCCCTAAAACGGCTCGTTCTAACACGCCCCCACATATCTACCTCACTATGTGGAAATATTTGCATAATGCGCCCAAATATGCACGCAAAGAAAGAAGGCGGGGTTTCAGGAACAGCAGTTAGTGTTGAAGCAGCATGTCAGGGAGACGCTGTGTGTTTCTAGGCAAAAGCACTTTATTTGGCCTTCCGAAAGTAGATGCATTTAGGACATTTTTAGATCATTTACAACAGAACAGCAATGCATTTTATGGACGACCGTTTCGTGAACCTAGGAGAGGAGGTAATTCTGACTTTGCTATGACAATCTGGCGCTTCTGAATCAGCTACTGTTTTGTTATTAGTTTAAGTATTTGCTATTGACTGTTCAAATGCGGAGGTTTGCGCATTGTGTGTGTGTGTGAGAGAGAGAGAGAGAGAGAGAGAGAGACAGGGTCACATCACAGTGGAGTCAGCTGTCTTAACCGTGACTTGTGTACTGCAAACACATACCAGCTTCATCACGGTGTCTGTCACGCGACTCTGTTCCCCTTTCGGGCTTGAACTGATGGTAAAACTAATGACATTATTTACTGTCTTTACATTTATTTTGAAAGATGAAGCTCGCGATTATGGTAAGGGGCGTTACATTTCCGATGAGTGCTTGCAGTGTTCGGCCAATCACAATGCACTGAGTCAGCTGGCCAATCAGAGCAGACTGCGCTTGTCGGAAGGAGGGACTTTGTAGAAAACGAAGTGTTTGAGAGAGGCGGGGCATATAGGACCTACAATAATGTACATTATTTGAAAAAGAATGTGTTTTTTGAACATTAAAGCATGTTAACATATTCTGTTACACCAAAGACACAAAATAATGATCTTTAAAAAAGCATCATATGACCCCTTCAATTTACAGCGAAAAGAAGGTCAGGGAAAAATCTCCATACAAGTTCTTTGTGCATTTTTCTTTTTTTCTACTTGTTACTTTGCACTTTTTGTTAGAAAATGTTTATTTACTATTTATTCAGCTTTTTAAGGTATCTAATGTATTGATACTTAATTTCCATGATCTAAATATTCTCGAAATTAACAGTTTGTTGTCATTTGGAAGTGTGTAGGCCTTCTTGCATTATTATGCTGTTACATTATGATTATATATATTCAGTGGCATAAAATGGTCTTTAAAATGACAATAATATTGCTTAACGCAATTATTTCTGGGGCAATATATCGCACAACAAAAAGTTGTTTATTGTGACAGGCCTAAGTTGTATTAATATATCTCCTTAAAAATAAAAATGAAGGCATTTGACATTTAAACCATGAAACGTTGTGTTCTGTAATCATGATCAGTTTCTGCCTGGACATGAGCAGTGGTCAGAGAGAGTGAGGAAACGACTGTATTATGGTCTTGATTCTGACAGCCCGTTGGATGCTCTATCATGTCCCATGACAGGTGAGTCAACTAGTAAAACTACTGCCGGCGTCAGTGGTTGTTGTTGCAATGCCATTTATTGAGTTATCGTGACCTAACTCCTTGTTTTGTCTCCCGTACTTACAAGGATTTTTTTTTAAAAAAACCTACAATTTTGGATTGGACCATTAGTGCAATTTTTTTTATCTTTTGTTACATTTTATTTTAAAATATTTTAATAAAAAAATGTAATAATTATGTGCACGTTATTTAAGTATGCAAGCTATTGCAGTTTTTTTTATTATGACTTAATTATTAATACTGATATTTACAATGATTAGAATTTAAAATCTAAAATGAAAGAACTGGATAAACATTGTATTCAAACTATTGCAATTAAGTTGCTTTAATTACAAATGATTTATTATTAATAATGGAATCGTTTTATTATGGCTTAATTATTTAAACTTCTATTTACATTTATTAGAAATTAGTT